CCCAGCAGGCCCCCAGGTGACCCTGCCACCCATGGGGTCTCATGGTGACCCTGCCACCCGTGGGGTCTCACGGGGACCCTGCCACCCATGGGATCTCACTGCGCCATCCCCGCCGCGCCAACCGGCGCCAGGGCCAGGCCGGCCCCCGCGCTCACCCCGTGACGGCGCGGTGCATTGCCCCTGGAAAATGCCAGAGCGTTCAAACCGTTGAGTCATTTGTGCCCAAGATTATCTGTGCAAACAGCGGCCCCGATTATTTTTTTTTTTATTATAAATTTTTTTCTTTTTTCTTTTTCCCCAAGAATGTGGCTCAGACCATGGGGATGAGCAGCTGAAATCTCCGGGGATCAGCAGGACAATGCCAGAGCAAGCATTGTGCTGACGGCTCTGCAAACGCTGGCCCCGCCTCCCGGCCAGCAGCACCCTATAAAAGCTGAGCCGCTGAAGTAGGCAAACATTACATGGGTGAAGCAGCAGTAACCGCCTGAGCTAGGTGAGTCCTGGGATCGATTCCACCTCTCCCACCTTGTCCCCCTGCTCGCCCTGCGGCCGCTGGCTGCCCAGGCAGACACCTTTCTTCCTGCCTGGTGGCAAAAGACACCCAGAGGGACCATCGCCATTCCCTGTGGCAAAAGACAGGCTCACACATCCCTGCTGGTGGCTGGGGTGGCTGAGAGCCCCTCTACTGTGGGGCACTCCATTCCTGGCAGCCACCCGGTTCCCGGCATGGCACACCGATTGGCATCTCCCAACAGTAACTGGGGCTGTCCATGGGAGCCCACCATGCCCCCCAAGGGAGGCGCAGCCAGGGTGCCAACGCAGGGAGAGGGGAGCTGGCAGGTCTGTATGACACCACCAGGCATGGGGCAGCCCGGGCCCATAGCTGCAGCTCCCCACACCAGCCCAGGGGTGTGTTTCCTAGCGATGATCTGGCCTTGGGGAAAAAGAAGGGAGAGCCAGGCACTGTGCTCCTGTGGGCACACAGGCTCTGTGTCATAGCCAGGAGGGAGGCAGGGAAGGGGCACTGTGGTGGTGAGAAGGGAGCACCCTGCTTTGGATGTGTCCCAGAGCCCCCACCATGCTCCTCAACCCATCTGGCTGGTGAAAGGGTCTTGCTGTGACTGGCATGTCCTGTCCCCAGCAGCAGGGCAGCTGCCCTCGAACAGGCACTGTGGGCAGTGGGTGCAGAGCTGTGCCCTGGCCCCCATGAAGGTGCACAGGGGCTTGCTGCAGTGCAAACAGCTTTTCCTTCCTTCTCCAGACACCGCTGCAGCAGCAAAGATGGCTCAGACAAACCCTCTGCCTGTCCCCATGGGCCCATGGAAGGTATGTCCTCACACCTCCTGTATCTTGCCTTTCCCAGGGTACAGGTGGGAGAAAGGGACTGGGGCAAAGCCAGTCCTGCGGGGCCAGGGAAGCTGAGCATCAGGCAGTGAGGCAGGGGGAGAACAGGACCGTTGTCCTCTGCCTATGGGAATGTGCCTCCCACCTGCTCAAACACCTCTCGAGGGTTTTTCATAAGCCTCTTTGCAGCACCCTGGCCCAGCGGTGTCCTGCCCTTACTGGTCGTCCTATGCCGGGCAGTTACAGCTGCCCCCAAAAGGCACAGGCTGTTATTTGCCTTCCCTTGCCGGTGCAGGCAGGGCCAGGCAGGCACCAGGGCTGCAAAAGGGGCCGGTGGAGCGAAGTGTGGAGCAGCCCCGAGGGGTCTAGCGACAGCTTCGGGAACACAGCTCAAGGTGGGAGATGAGAGGGAGAGCAGAAGCACATGAGCAAGCAGGGCACACCCCGCCAAAGCCTGGAGCTGTACGGGAGAGGAGAGCGGCAGCCGCAGCCCCCCGGGGAGTTCCCCCTCGCCCTTTCCCCCGTAATCCTCTTTGCCCTAGAGCATTCGGAGCAGAGGCCGGGAGAACCGCGAGCCACAGCCCTGCCACCCGCCCGTCCCAGAACGGCTCCCCCCCCCC